AATACAACATTTTGAGCGGTAAAAGTTTGTTTTATAAAACGACATAATATTATGACCACATTATTTTAGATAACATATCTTTTTCACATTTCTAGGGTCTGTAACTCTAACTGAATAAAAAATAATTACTAATAGTTTTCAGAAACGTATAAAGCTATAGTCAGATATACACATTGTGTGCATTTAATCATTCCAAATTGTTTTATCATCCACAAGTGCCAAATGTAAATGACAAAAAGCATAAGAAATGAGCAAGACAGTGGGAAATTTGGAGCACAACAAATCAAGAGGAAAACAAATCCCAAATGTTAGGCTTATGGTCTAACATGAAAATAAGCATTGCATATAACCCCCCCCCCTTCTAACACTAACACCATGCAGGAACCATCGTTACACAAAAATATATAGCGCCGTTTAACGTTTTTTTACCTGTTACGTTTGGTACGTGATATTCCTTTAGTTTAAATAACTATAATCAACCTGTCTAGATCTACCGTGCAATTTTCACCGTTTGAACCCTCTGCAGCTTTTGAAAAAGTTAACACCAGCATTGGCAAAAGTTGCCCTCGAGACTGATAAATGCTTGCATATGTTCAATAACGAAACCCATTGTTAAATTAAATATATGCTAAGCAATACCAATATCAAGCCATTATAAGCACTGGAAGAGCGCGTGATAGTAAATTAAACTGATTGGAAATTATTTAAGTGAACAGTGACGCACATGACGGCTACTTAGGATATTGAAAGAGCCAATTTATTGATGAGATATGGAACCCTTTTATATCGACACCAAAATTAGAGCTGTTTGAGCGTGTGTCAAAACAACTATTTTGTCTGTTTTGTAAAATTATTATAAAGTTCAATTAAAACCTTTTATTCCCGAATTCAACTGCCGGTTATCGGCTGACAAATTAACCAACTATCTTATTACCAAATGTTAATATGAATTTACCTGCTATTTTTCCATTCATAATCAAATTAGTTTGCAAAAAGTAGGTTAATCTGATAGCCAATAGCCGAAAGTCAAATTCGCGAATACAAGGTAACTTAAAAGAAATTAACTGAATAACCCAAACATGTTAAAGCTTCAACATACCGTGGTCGCTAACATTTCATCAATGATCGAACTGTGTACGAGTGTACAATGATTAGCGACGGTCTGAATTTAGGTTTCGGTTTCTGTGTAACAGCATATTCGCTCATTAAAATGTATCACATTTAACCAGTCAAATCAAATTGTGCTGATGCAAAAATACATCAAACAAACCTACAGCAGGGAAATCTACAATGTCTAAAAGTCATACATTTAGATTCACCTTTTCATTGAAGTGGTTCTTTTCAAATAGACAGGTGCATCAGAAACGGATAATCGTTTCTCCCTTTTTAGTTCCTATCATCAATGATCCAGCCGTCAATAAGGAATCTAGTACTACGAAGACGACTTCATATGGTACCCAGCCGTCTTCATCAAGTGGAATAAGTTATAAAACTTTGGCTACAACAGATTCTTCTACGACTCGAGATACTACCCGGGTATTTTCATTGAATGTACCTCAAGGTGAGACTTTATCTACAACCAATGATCAAGTCGTCAACATGGAATCTTCTACAGCAAGTTTTAATCCAGAGGCTCCAAGAACATTCCCAACAAACACGACAAGAGACACCACCATTTCTACAACAAAAAATGGTCCAATCGTCAACACGGAATCTTCTACAGCAAATCTTACCCAAGAGGCTCCAAAGATATCCACAACAAATACGACAAGAGACACAACCTTATCTACAACAAGTAATGGCCCAATCGTCAACACGGAATCTTCTACAGCAAATCTTACCCAAGAGGCTCCAACGATATCCACAACAAGTACGACAAGAGACACGACCTTATCTACAACAAGTAATGGTCCAATCGCCAGCATAAAATCTTCTACAGCAAATTTGACTCCAGAGACTCTCGGGATATCAGCAACAAATAAAACAAGAGACACGACCTCATCTCAAACAAGAAATGATTCAATTGCCAACACGGAATCGTCTACAGCAAATCTGACTCCAGAGGCTACCAGGATATCCGAAACAAATACGAAAATAAATAAGATCTTAATAACAACAAGTAATGATCGAGCCTTCAACACGGAATCCTCAACAACAATATCTTCTACAATTGGGGAAAGCTCATCTACAACAAATGTTCAAACGCCTACAAGAATTCCTACAAGTAGCATTGATAAAGCCTCTCCGCCAACCATGACAAATAAGTGTGCAATGACAATAAACGAATCAGGTAATCTTTAACGATATATTTATGCAAATCCCAGATTTTTCCTTTATATTATATAGTATTATCAGTGAATTAAGGTACAGAGTGTCTCAATATAAAACATACTAATCCCAGAAGTAAGTATCATAATCAATGTTACCTCATATTTCGATGACAGCCTGTATCCTAACTGCTACATTGTTCATCACATTTGATAATAGTTCATCATCATCATCATTTGAATACACGATTGATCAATTTTACTGATCATTATGTCGGGGGTTAGTACGAGAAAGTTAAAACATGAACATCAACAACAGTTCATGAGCTAAAAACAGTGTTAGGTCACAAAAAGCTAAAACAATGGGTTAAAAAGACAGTATAAGATTAAGGCATGGGTGTAAGGTAGTGAGCCCTTAGACTTGAACTGGTCTAAGTTTCTTGAACGTCTCAACGCTCTGTATAAGACATTGTGAAGGCCTCCATATTCACCAGATTTGACGGCCCATACTTTTTTCTCGGGGCATTGCTATGCTAAACCCAAGCTAAGAGACCTAGGACAACTTAAGACCAGCATCCGAACAGAAATTAATCAGAAAATTCCATCAGAATTATTTAATGTGATGAACAATGTAGTAGTAAATATGCAGACTGTCATCGAAATCTGAGGTAACATTGATCATGTGGTGTAAAAGGTAAAGGGTTAAAGTGTCAAAAGGCAAAGCTGAATTAAAACTGTGTATAGGGGAAACCACATGTTTTGATGACAAGACAATCCAAAAATATTGTCTGAAAATATTGATTCGTTTGTCTATATGATGTTGATATACGTTGGGTACATTTTTGAGAAACCCTATATATAGACCTATCTGCTATTAGGTTGTGGACACACATTCTGTTTAAATGGGAGTTATGGGTGTTTCGCCTCACCTGGATATGATAAGTGTGGCTATGGATATACTTTGGGTACATTTTTTGAGACACCCTATATATAGACCTATCTGCTATTAGGTTGTGGACACACATTCTGTTTAAATGGGAGTTATGGGTGTTTCTTCTCACCTGGATACGATAAGTGTGGCTATGGGCATAATCAAAACATCTCCTGGTTGATCAACGTCGATTCCAATATGGTAAGTAACCTAATATATCCGGTTGGGAAAACAAACAACACATAAATGAAATAAGACTATGGATAGGTTTTATGTTCAATACTACACAGGCTTATTTTAAAATGCTGTCGCAGACAGAATATAGTAAACTAACGACATTAACCAACGGTTGGCATACATGATTTGCTTATTAACTATAAACCTTAAAGCCAGAACCAAGTTTATAGGGAGTGACGAAATTGCAGGCAATAGGTACAATTGATCTACCGATGTATTCCTTACAAGCTCATATATAATATCTCCAAAAAGATCTGTGATATATTATCAATAGTGGTGAAATTAAATAAGATTAAAAGTGCAAAAATGGGGGGGGGATATTAAAATTCTCCCAAATAAAAATAAGAATCTGATTCTGCCTTTAATTTGCATCTATAAATATCTCACGTTCTACAAATATAGTTTCAATGATTGTGAAATTGTATTTTGGGAACTCGTGGCCCCTGTTAAGAAACGTTTATAAATCAAGATTGCTGTACTCTACAATGTAATATGTAATATTCCTCACATCATCGTTAGTATGATTGGTGTGTATAGCATCATCGTAATTACATAAAGTGAGAGCGTTGCCATGTTCATTCAGCCATAGTTGCAGTTTTTTCTTTCCATTTAATGCTATACTTGTATTTGCTTGATTAGCATCACAATATTTCAGATTGTTAACTTAACATTTCATGATTTTGACGTCGAGAGTCACCCAGATTGTGAATTTGACAACGTTAGTCTTACGGATTCCTATGGAACGATTGAACCATTATTATGTGGTTATGGAGTACCGTCTAATATCAAATCTAGAGATAAGTGGATGCTCGTGGAGTTGCACACTGATGGAGAGTTAGCGAGACCTGGTTTTTTTGCATCATTTGAGGCTATTGACAAAATAGAAAATTACACATGTACGGAGGTTTGATATACTAGTAGCTGTTTTATTAATTAATTGATTGCAAAAATACTATCCTAGTTATTAATCTGTATTTTGTGCTTAAAAGTTAATATGTGGAGGTGACTTTTTATAGGATATCCTATGATTTTGAGGAATATCATTTTTATCTACGAGGTGATATTGATATTTGCACGAGAGAGCGAAGCGAACGAGTGCATATATCAATATCACCGAGTAGATTAAAATGATATTCTGAAAAAAATCATAGGATGTTCTTATTATCCTACACTTACAAGGAGTGTACTGAATGTATAATATCATTGTAAAATGAATTTCATGCCAAATAGAGTCTATTTGGCGGGAAATCAACAAGCGGAGTATATCGTCACAATATCCTCCGCATATAGGGTTTTCTGGAGTATATCGTCACGATATCCTCCGCCCGGAGTATATCGTCACGATATCCTCCGGATATTCATTTTGCCAATAAATATCAAATTTATTTTATCATGTTATTGTACATTTAGTACACTAAGTGTAGGATAATATATAGATTCTCATGCAATATGGACTTTCAACTTTGAACACATTTATTATACATTGCAGTTTCCATGACTACCGTTGCTCAAGCAAGCACACCAACTACCGAATGTGGCCGTCCTGTATATTTGAATGAAAGTTCTGGTGATTTCGCCTCGCCAGGGTACACGGCTGATTCAAACAGTACATATCCGCATTCAACTGTCTGTGAATGGGAAATATATGTTAATGAAGGAATGGTGAGTATCAGACTGATACTGATACTATCAGTATATACCAAATATTCCATTCTATAAAGGTTTATAAGTGTCGTTTATTCCATAATACTACACGTACTGTTTTCCCTGGGAAATACAATCATATTATCCCTATTAAAATCATATATACTCAAAAAGTCATATTCTCCCTGGAAAAAATCATATATACTTGAAAAAAATCATATATCGGGTGTCCCAAAAAAAACGTCCCGCTTTTTGAGCTCTTATAACTCTGCAAGATATTAACCAATTCATTTGAAATTTATCAGGGAGTAAGAGAACGATATTATCTATAAGCTATAAAAATATTAAATTAATCGGATGTACATTATGTGAGTATCGCCAAATACAAGATAGCATAGCAAGAAATGTAATGTCAGAGGATAACTCAATTATTTCACCTTATAATGTAGATTGATGAGCATCGCCAAATACAAAAGTTAAACAGCATAAGATAAAAAGTTGGTACAGCATGGTACAGTACAGTTGAATGGCCTCCACTTTGTGGAGGCCATTCAACCTTTTTGATAAATGCTGTGGTGGATATCTCCAGATACGCATGAGTTACCCCACTTGTGTGGGAAGGGGCCCCATCTTGAAACACATAGTCATTTCTAGGGTAAATCCTCCTACAATCAGGTAGCAGATTTTCATCTAATAACTTAATATAGCTTTCGCTGTTGACTTTGGCTTTGTCAGTATTAATGAAATAAATGTCCGTCTTCCCCTTCCAGGATACTCCTGCAGAAACCATTATCTTTTTGGATAACGTGAAGTTTCATGGTAAAGACGTGATGGTTGAATTTGAAGTTTACGCTTTCCATACACCCGATCATTTTGACGATTTTTGGGCACTTCAAGAGAAAAGTCCTTCTCATCAGTGAAAATGATCTTCTTGACATCTGCGGATGAATAACGATCATATAAATTGCGACATCTTGTTTTTCTTTTTCCTTTAACATATAAGTGAGTTGTCGATCTTTTGCTGTACCAACTTTTTATCTTATGCTATATGATATACTTGAAAAAAATCAAATTGGCCCTACTTTTCAAAAAAGTCAATTTTTCAAAAAAAAATGATTTTTCCAATTTTCGAAAAAATTAATTTTTTTCAGAATTTTCATTTTTTCAAAAATATTCAATTTTTCAAAGATTTTCATTTATTTCAAAAAATTTCATTTTTGAATCATTTTTTCAAAAATTTTAATTTCTTCAAAAATATTCATTTTTGGCTATGCTCGTTTGGTCAATATATTTATTCCATAATAATATGTATAAAATGGAAATTAAAAAATCCCTTTTGAGATCCCGTATCAGATCCCCCATTGGATCCCGTATCAGCCAAAATCCCGTATCAGATCTTATATTAGAACTATCAGAAAAGTTCATGAGACTTAATATTGTGTTATTATGACATATAATGATCTGATTTAGTATTATAAAGTATTTCTGTTTAAAAATTTGTTAATAAAAGTTGAAAATGTCATTCAATAAATCAAATTATTTCATTTAATGTCACCATCATGGGGTGATGACATACAAAAAAAGGTTAAGAAAAATATTATGGAATACATAGGTTATTGATGGTTGTGATGGCATTTGAATTTTTCCCCGAGAAATATAATATTGGCCTTGGAAAATATCATATTGACACTAGAGCTGTCGCCCTTAGTCAATATATAATGGCAATCACGATTTACACATGTCTGATACTTTCAGAAGTATCATTCAGCAATTACAACTAATTACACGCATGAACTTACTTAATCAATCCAGGTCTCATATAACAGCGCTAACAATATTGCTAATCCAAGGAAGTTTTACATTTAGAGTCGATTTTTTCGACCAATGAAGTCGAGGCTTTCTGTATCACGTTTTCACTCGCGGTATATGGCCAGTCGCAGTATCTATTTTGAGACACTTAGTGGAAGTTCGATCAATAGACTAGATGCGAGTAAAAAATAATCTTGATTTACGTCATTCAATATTCGAAATCGAGTCAAATTGATGTCATATTTGAATTCAACATGTAAAAGTACATCAAGAAATATGGCTTCTTATTCGGATAGATTCCTTATAGACCCCATGTTATAAAATCAAAAAATAACATTTTCTTTTACTGAGGATATACTTCAATTTACACTGTGACAACTAATAGATACACAAGGGTTATATGAATATTGAACCACTAAAACAGATGAATATTTAATTTGAAGGGAACTTTCTGCTAAACCTGACCCGAACAAACCACCTGGTGGTGAAACTGTTAACTACCTACTCGCATCTGAGTTATTGTTTACGTTTATGTGAAGTTGCCATTACTCACGATGAAAGATATGCCTACTGGAGCTTTATGTTGAAGACGAGGCTACCACTGCCACTGAGTATGTTGTTCCTCGATATATTTCTCGCAACCCAAATGTGTTTAAATAAATAAGTAAAGTGATAATGGCAACCATGAACAAGCAACTATATAATGGCTAATGCAAATAGACTAGATATACCGGGGTAATGTTTTTTTTACCAAATATACATAAAAAATAACGCTTCTTTCAATTCTTCTTCTTTTCTACATGTTTTACAACAGGTCATCGAATTAACGTTCAATGTGTTTGAATTAGAAGCAGAAGATGATTGCGATTACGACTATGTGGAGTTAAGGAGTGATGATAGCGAAACGTTTACATTCTGCGGTTCACGCCCCACCTTTTTTCGAGTATCGAAAGACAATTGGTGGAAAATTGAATTCAAAAGTGATGATATTGTCGCTATGAGAGGGTTTCATGCGTCATACACCGTGCACAAGAGTATGTATTACCCATGTATTCTTAGCATTCACCACAATCAAAGTCTTTACCTATTATTTTAGTATATAAATGATCTATAAAGCATATAATCTAAAACATGTTTTTGGGTCTTTTTGGTCGTTTTGGATCATGTTAACCCTAATGCCGGACACATTTTTTCACTAAATCACAAAGGAGAATTCGCTTCTCTATGAATTTTTATTACTTCTGATTTCAGAAATGTTGGTATTATTGTAAACTTTGTTCATTTCATCTCTTCAGAAAAGTATTGTTTTTTTCAAAAAGAGGTATTCAACAAAAGGTCATATCGAGGTCAACATGACCGTCATAGGGGTAAACATTTTCTAGAATTTTTAGAATTTAACTTGAGCCGGTAGATAGCTGGTATCGTGGAAACCCATTCAAATTAATGGAACGCATGATTAAATAGTCAGCAAATTCAAGTTGAACTTGTTTTTGTCTTTAACATTCACACTTCAAGATGATAAACAAATAACAATCAGTGATTTTGTATTAAAATAGATAAGATTCGCCATTTTGTCGGCAATTTAAGTCAAATGCAAACATCCGTGTCTGCAAAATTAAAAAAATCAGCTCCACGGTTAATTTTAAAACGTTAATATCTTCCTTAACTCACTTCATTCTCGTCTGATTAGATTTTGGACATATTGGCTCAGTCATGTAAGCCATGTTGAATGTCTTAAGTAAAGCCAACGAGCGATAATACCTTAAATTATATCAATAAGATGTTTTGAAATTGTCATGCTGTATTGTTAAAACCTATGTCACTGTTGAGAGTACATGTAGTTGCATGCGAATATTTTGTTTAAAAAATCGACAAAAATGCTTTTTTATTTTCGGCCATTTTGATGTTTTACGTCGTAAAATCTTGTCCGTAAACTATTGTCTACATGTTTCGAGGCAAACCAGGTGAGGATCGATTTCAAATGTACTATAAACTGATATATACTTGTTACAAATGTACCATCTACTTGTTCTATTATGTAAATGATTTGAAAGTAAAAGTTGTGTTCTCATTATTGCAGAGTGTGGTAACCCAGTATATTTAAATGGTAGTCATGGTTATATACAATCACCAGGATATATGAACGACAGTTGTAACCAGTACAGAGATTCTGAGAATTGTACCTGGGAAATATCTGTTGGAGACGGTATGGTGAGTACTTACCGATATTTTTAAAGATACGATGTCCGATAGGTTCAGTTCAGTGTCTTTATTTCCTCCACATAGGTGAGGATTTAAACAATACATATAATTACAGACAATTCACATTAACATATTATTTACATTTGTACATATTGTTACATATAGATTTACATTTAGAGTTTTTACATTTCTGTTTGTTTGATAACTGTTTTCACCATTAGATCAATTTAATATGCACTATTCAATTGGAACTGTTCAATTGTACCATCTTGGCAATTTTGAAGTACATCAGTCGTGTTTCTACTATAATATCTTCAGTAGTGTTCAATAATTGAACTGATAAATCAATAGGTAGTATATTACCCTACTATCACACCAAACTAGTTCTCACTACGTTCTCGAAAACGGGCTTCAACTGTGTACGAACGGACTGGACCTACTAAGAACCGTTTGGGATATATTAACAAACTTCATCGAACGTACTCGAACGGGTAGGTCCTCTAGAACTTAGACAATGCTCAAAATGTTCTCGTGGTCGTCACGTTCTACAATTAGAACGAGTGACAACGTACTAACGACGAGCTGGACGTACTACGAACGGAACCGTCGTACTTCAATCCTACTAGGGACGTTTTAACAACGAGTTGAATTGTCTGAGGACGTGTTGAGAACGAGGTAGAACTAATTGCAAACGGGTTTAAACTGATTGAGAACGTATTTAACACTGCTTATGAACGAGTTAGCAAAAATATAGCTCTCACACCAAACAAGTTGCCACTGCGTTCTTCAAAACTGTGTGCGAACGAAATGAACGTAGCCGCAACTTTCTAAGGTCTATTTACGAACTTTATGATCGTTCTCAGACGGGAATGTGATTTTAGAATTTTGAATCGATTCAAAATTCGATGGCGACCATAACGTTCTGTAATCAGGTCCTGTTGACCTTCTAGACTAAGGGACGCGTTCTACTACGTTGCACACCGACGTGGTGCGACTTGAACGAACTGCGAACGAGAAGGACGTATTGAAGACTGTTTAGGAACGAAGAAGCTAATTATTTCAGACATATTTCCCGACCACAGCCAGATTGAGCCCGTTTTACGACGTTTTCGTAGGACTGGCAAGAACGGGTAAGAACGAGTTTGGTGTGATAGGGGGGTTAACAATACCATCTAAGAGTTTCTCTCTCAAGTAAATAACTCGGACATGCTGGCAGTGAAGAACAAGGTGACTGACCATATCAATTGTCAACTTTTAACATGCAAGGCATTTCGTTTCTTTTTCGGTAAAAAGTAAAAGGAGTGCAAGTAACTGGCCAAATCGCCAAGTAAACATGGGATATTTTAGACCAAGTTCCCAATAAATAATAGGCTTATACTCGATATGAACATTTGAAAAGCGTTGTAATCTTGGATTAATGTGGACAATCTCTCGCCATGTTTTTGATTCTGTAAACTGAAATTGGCCATTTACTAATAATTTCCATTTTCCTTTGTCCATAATTCTGTTTAAAAGTATTTCCTTCCAAATAAGTTAAGAATTCTTGACGGATAACAGGATATGTATCTAAAATTGACATGACGTCACTTAAAAAAACTGACTTTGCAGATTATGGATATCTCGTACAATCGTGCTCGCAAGGCGAATTATAAATATCTTTTCTGTATTAAGATGTCACTTAATCTGCATAGTCGTCCTAGAACATTAATTTTAATTTATGTATATAAGATTGCACTGAATATTGCCCTAGAGAGCTTATCACAGCTCCACTCGGTGTACGATTCACCATACCCTGAAATCTTTTTGCTATGTGACGCTGTGTAATCTCTACTGTTTCAATTTCATTAGGACTTAAAGAATACCATAGTTCGCATCCGTAAATTGCCGTCGGCATAATGATACGATTTAATATTTTAAAACTTACTAATGGGTTAAGTCCTCCATTGTACATTCCTATGTTGCATAAAGAGTTGTTGATAATATTGCCGACATATACTTGTTCATTTCTGGTAGGTTTTGGTTCCTTTCCTAATGACCAGTTTGAGTTACACTTATTTAGGTTTGATTTCCCAAAGATGATTACAGCACTTTTGCATTGATTTAAAGGTGACCCAGCATGATATACTTATCTCCAACGACAGCTGTATTTGTATACAATATCTAATCGATTTTGAAGACCACTAGCAGTGGCAGGTATGACCGTCGTGTCGTCGGCTACAATTATACATGGCAATTTTAAATCTGGTGCAATCCTAACCCTAAAAAATGACTGGCACATTTCAATTATTAGGTCATTAATGTAGATTTGAAACCAGATTGAACTACAAATTCTTCCTTGACCACAGCCTTGATTTATGGTTATCTCCCTAGATTATTCATCATCGTACAAGATTCGAGCACAGGTATTGCTATACCCTTGTACTATGAGTCTACACGAGAGCCCATTGATACCTAAATTAAAAAGTTCTAAAAATAGCCCATGTCTATACAATAAATCAAATGCCATACGATTATCAAGAATGCGCAAAAAACTGGAGAGTGTCGCTCATTAACACCCCAGTCACATTTCCTACGGCGACCTTGCGGTCTATCTTTTCTGCGGCCAGTAGCTTTTCTACGCTCGCCGCAGAATTTCTGCGCTCTCATATTTTTCCAGTCACATTTCCCACGGCAGCCGCACGGTGAATTTTAAATTTATATTGATAAATAATAGTTTTTTTCATTTTATTTACATCAGGACAATTTATAAATGTTATTCAAAGTGCTAGGATGTAATATCAAATGAAAAGTGATCGTGAAACATTGACAACTAATGATTCAATCTTGTTGAGCCAGTTGATTTCTACGGGACCTCAGAAATGAACAAATATTATAACTCCGAGTTATAACTTCTATGGCGACCCTGCGGCCTCTAAAAAACTGGATACGCCGCACGGAGGCCGCAAGGCGAGCGTAGTTTTCCTGCGCTCGCCGCAGAAATACACTGATTTAATTGATCTGCGGTCGACGCACGCCCTCCGTACGACAAATGTGACTTGGGTGTTAAGAGATGTAGGACTTCCTTTAAAACGTACGTTGCCATTTGGCTACCTCCACCATGTTTGCTAGCAAATTGCAAATTATGTGGAACACCTGCCCTCTCTAATACAGACATGCTTCGGTTTAGAATTATAGTGTCCCATATCTTATTGATAACAGGTGTAAGGGTTAAACCCCTAACATTAGCTCGTATTCTTTTGTCTTTCTTCTTACCTTCATGTAAGGAAATGATGGTACCAAGTTTTTGACTTTTTTGACACATTCTAACCTAATCATAGTATTGTAAGTTTTTGTATAAGCATACTCCCACCATCTTTAAAGTGCTCGTATGTTATCAAGTCATAACCTGGAGCCTTATTGGAAGAACTAGATTTAATGACGTCGTATACGTCCTGTGACGAAATTGGGGCACTCATTTCTCTATCCTCATTATGATATGACTCTGTGTAACATCAATGAGAGACTGGTGCATCATGTCACTACTAGTGTATGTAAACAGTGGACCAGTAGTGACTTGTTGCGTATTGACAAAATTTGCAATCATCTATAAACTGCTCAATATAATTAACAGGATCTTAAGAGGTTCTGGACAAATCATTTGATTCTGGACTTGTCACATTTTTTTTTCAACGAAATCACATCCAAGGGTTGAATTTTTATTAGCTATTTAGAGAGTGAGTCCTGCCTAGTATTAATTTCAATAAAAAAGTTAAAATAGAACCCTATTTGAGAGTCAATCTAATACTTACATTACATTGATGAATTAAGGCAAATCTTGAAATATTTTTAAAGTGCATTTTTTATGAAATATTATCCAGCAAGTATTTAGATGAAACGGTCTTATTTAAATACAAATCATAACATGATGATATTTTTCATGAAACATTTTTCAATGAAATTCAATTGAAGGGTCAAGATAAAACGAGCTAATTTAGGTGAAAACCCTTACATGATGATGTGTTTTCATAACTTCTTTCATAAAATTCCATCAAGGGGTGACGATAAAATGATCGAATTTAAGTGATTTAAGGATCACGAGAATATGTTTTCTTTGATATTTTCTATGAAATCCCATCCAATGGTCAAGGTGAAATTTTGATTTTGATTTGGTATTAGGTCACGTGTTCGAAAGATCCATATAAGGCCCATAGAACCGTCATTTTGAATGTCACGTGATAGATCCATATAAGGCTTTTAGAACCATGTTGGGAAAGATGAGGGGAAGCCCCTGACACCTGTTTCACGATTTTATCCGAACGTTGTTCGGATCATTTCGGTTTTTATGCACTTCATTATTGTACCGAAGTTTGCCGATTCGATTCGTCGTATTTCGGAATCCTGGTGACAATTTTATACTCCATTGGAGTATTTTTGACCCACTTCTTATGACGGAAATTCCCGAACCTTGATTTTCTGACCTACTTTATCTACCGAGATTTCACGAGTTAACATTCGTCTCATTCCGGAATCCTGGTGACAATTTTATACTCCATTGGAGTATTTTTGATCTACTTTTTCTGGATTTTGCCCTACTTATTATATCTTGACAACAAGCAAATCAAAAAGTTCGACATGAACGGGTCTCGATCAACTAACCTAGACAATGGAAGCCAGGCACGCTAACCATGAGGCCAACGAGCTACCGATATGAAGGAACAAAAGTATTATATTTTTATACCGAGCGTCAATTCAAAATAATCCTCACTTTTGTCTCCACTTAAATACGACGGGTCAGTTGTATCCAGAATAGCAGAACGCCTATGCCGCTAGTGAATAACCACGTCCCAGGTGAGTGGTTCGTATCCCTCTGTGATATACTATTTTTGTTTTATTAAATACGACAGAAAGGAGCAATGTGTAGGTTGAAAACAAGACGTTAGTTTGTTTCAAAACAGTTTGGAAACATTAATCTCTGATAATTTAAGGTTTTCCACTCCTGAAGGGCCTCTAGATCTATGAAATTCAATAAT